CTGAAGGAATCGCTCAGAACAATGATCATCATAATCGTTATCAGCTGTAAGGACCGCGTACTTGTATGGTGATTGTAGCTGCTGCAATTTCGTCCACCGGTGATTTAGGAAGTTGGGGTGGGTAGCTGCGCTTTGAATACGGCGGCTGATGAGTTTGTTGCGTAAGTGGACTTTTAAGGGGGACATTGGGGAAGGGGCTATGCATTAAAAGGAATAGCTTGGATGTACGACTGCTATTGGGGGCGCGAGTGGGCCATGTCTAACAGTCTCTAACCGCTGATGTATTTCGTCTGGGGGTGCCCATCCACGGACAAGGCAGTGACCAGCGCAGCTGAGTTTGCTGTAGTGGTTTTCATACTTCATTGCCAACTCATTGTTTGATCTCACCTGATTCGTTTCTACCCTTCACGTGGTTGTGCAAAGGGAACCCTTCGGGGAATTCGGTCGACGGACATACGGAGCTCGTGGGCGATCCAGCGCAACTTATGGAGTATGGTCGGTTTATCAGTCGCGGACGAGAACCATTTGATATTCTTCGGCATTGTTTATCTGCTGTTCCCACGAGACTCGAGGAATAATCCGAAAACATCGATGATCAAACACTGGAAGTTTTTTTTGACGCGCGCAGCGGCCAGGTTTCTGACCCGTTTAGAAATATGGAACACACCACAACATTGTAAACTCGACCCTTGACGGTTAAACTGATGTCAGGCCGACCCCACAGGTGACGCAGGTTCACAAAAGCTGCTCCGGCCTTCCCAATCTGGATGAAAATATCATCTTTCACGAGACCACCACTGATACAGCTGCCCAGGTGAACAAACTTGCCTTCTACCTCAATCGGCTCATCCGCAAGTGCGAGTCTAGGATTCTAGCTCACGCAGTCTTGCAATAGCATTCTACACTTTACACTTTGCAGGTGTGAAGCACATGCCCAACAACGAGGTGGAATTATTTAGATTATTTAATATTGTCTAAGTTACCACGGGGTCAGATCCAAGGAGAGTTATGTCGTCTGCGTACTCGATATCTGTGACCGGATGCTTCGGGAGCACTTGGACCTCACAGGCATTGGAGGCTGATAGTATGCCATAATCAGATCGATGAAGTTAAAGAGGAAAGGTGAAGGAGACAGCCTTGTCTGACACCACTTGATATGGTGAACTCTGGCAAGAGCTTCCCCAGTCCTTCATGCGGCCGCGGGGGTTGGCGTACGGCGCCTTAATGAAAGCCAAGAATTTATGGTGTACACCTTTTCTCCACAGACACTGCCATAGAGCTTTACGATCCACAGTGTCAAGGGCGGAATTCTGGCTACAGGTCAAGGGACATAACCATTGTTGGTTGCTGGAAACAGTGTCGATGTTCCAGAATCTTTTGGAGGGTGAGGATGTGATCTGTAGCGACCCAGTCACCCACACACTTGACTGTTCAGCCCACAGTCGCTCAGTGGATCACGAGACTTGTCTCAATTTCATGCCCACAACCACGTCACATTAAGGTGACTCATCAGACGTCGATTGTCTGCACCGTCTGGTGAGCGTACCAACCAATCACGTGCTGACGCGCCTACGTACGCGCAAACGGACCTACATATAGGGAAACCGAACGCAGCCAGCACACAGACTCGCGCGCGCGCAGAGAGCAGGAAGTCAACCTCTTGACAAGTCCACGGACAACCATGGAACACGTGTAGCAGCAAGACTGCAGAGAAAATACGTTCCCACCGTCAGGACTTTCACCAAGGGACTCTCACGTATGATAAGTTCCCTTTTGTGACTTGCTCCCATTTCGCACTGTATTTATTTTTATACGTGTCGCAACCCACCACTACCAACCACAGTAAAGACTGATTAGTGCACATGCATCTTCTGATTTGTATTGTGGCTATCATCAGCTGTGCACTAACAGATCAATGCATTCTCTTATAGGACCCGAAGCTGTCACCTTGTGTGGTTTTCGGGCTTCTGTGCTGCAATGATCCTGCGGGCTATACTGGCTGGAACTCAGCTCCTAAAGGCTCAACCATGCCAGGAAGACGAGCGGGAGCAGCCCGACGAAGAACAGCGAGCCCATGTACTGCGACTAATCGTCCGGAAGTAAAGTCATGCTGTCGTGTGTAGGCAGTAAGTCTTTTCCCGCAGTTGTCGGACATATCCATATTTATGGGAGCAGCAGTGCCGCCTTTCCTCGAGGGAAGACGCGTTAGAAAAGGTTAGCTGCAAAATCCTCAGAAATGGAACACTTGAAGTGTGGATAGGGAACATAGTATACAGAATCGACATGGCAGCTGGCATCCTGTGTACTGTTAAACTAAGCTTCACAATCCGTTTGATTTGCAAGCGCACAAGAAAGTGTTCGAGTTTGAGGTATCTACGTGTCACATCTGTGAGAAAGAAACCGGGAGCTCATCTCAATGAACTTAGGATGATGACGCATACGAGGCACACAGGTGAGGCGGTTTTTTCCGAGTAGTGGTTGGAGTCTTTTACCACTTGTACATGGCTTGAATCTGCTGGCTGTTGCGGCTGCCAATGATGACTAACACTGAAGCAGTTACACTCGAGCAGTTGAAAGCATCCTAAGGTGTTCAGTTTCCTTATCCAACAACCGAAAACCACCACTCCGGACGCTGAAAATCAAACACTATGCTTGTGATTGACGGCATTCCGTTGCCTCCCCAACTACTTTCCAAACGTGTTCTTATGTGAAGATGAAGCGGGTATTCTGAAACAGCCACGAGATTCTCGAATTATCGCCCGATGGTTCAGCGGAGACTTTAGTTGGTCTCCATGCCATGGCTTCAACGTTTGTGAAAGTAGTTCCGGTCTGGGAGATTTCTTCGAGTATCGATGCCGAATTACCTCTTGTCTCGCAAAAGCACCCCCTGCCATAGACAGATTCATAGAAGACTGACAGCTGTGAAGTACGACAACAGTGGTAACATGTCATCGTTTAGATCCATAAGGGGGGCTTAATGCTGTGATTGGTGAAACATACTGCGTTCCCGGTAGTCTTGACTTTCAGAGTGCCTGCATCAGAAAGAAAAACCCGAAAGCTTCCAACTCACGCGCGCAGTTTTGACCACAAATTAGTTTTTCCCTGAGAATTAGCCGCTGACAACCTTGTTGTTAACTTGCGGAGTGCCGGTGCTCAACTGTCTGGTCCACTGGAGTGAGCTACTCCTTGATGACTGTAACAGCACACGACAGTGGCTGGTGCCCCTCAGTTAAGTGAATCGTTAGATCTGATAACGACATCTGCTGATATTTCTCAGTACTAGTCAACTAGTTCCAAACTCGGCAACCTACTCTGTGATCAAATCATGGTTGTGTAGGGCTGAGCTAAACACATCGAATCACTCACTGTACAACGCTCCTGCTAGTCCAACATTTTGATTAGGTTAGTTCACTTCACTACCAGTTTTGTCAATCACATGAGAGCAAACGTATGGTCGTATATGTGGAGCACATATTATGGCCAAAGTCAGGTTGCTAAATCAGCAGTTGATTTTTCACACAGAGCAAACTTATATTCGTCGGATCCCGTATTCCTACAATGTTCCCGGTTCACGCGCATTTTAGCCACTGTTCCTGATGTCCCTAATTCGTTGAGCTACATTATGAGACCTTGTCACGGTGCACGTCGATGGTAGAATCCCGACTCAATGTCTGTTTGACCCCAGTGTTCCTTGGATACTTTTGTCCGCGTTACTTCGGAGTAAACTAGTTTATCTGCATCGAACGGCATCCCTTTTTCCTTTTGACACTGGTTCAGTTGTGTTACCGTTTCCATACCACAGTATGAGCACAATGGTAATATTATCCGGGAGCAAAACTGTAACAGTTTGAACTTCATGGTTTGTGTTTGGTTGTCTTTTATATTCTTGGCTGGTGCTTCCTAATGTTCGCTCTGAAGTTTGCTCGATACTGCCTCTTGTCCCTTTTGACAATGGTTCAGTTGTGTTACCGTTTCCATACCACAGTATGAGCACAATGGTAATATTATCCGGGAGCAAAACTGTAACAGTTTGAACTTCATGGTTTGTGTTTGGTTGTCTTTTATATTCTTGGCTGGTGCTTCCTAATGTTCGCTCTGAAGTTTGCTCGATACTGCCTGTTGTCTTTATGCAATTGACCTATCCTGTTTTTTTCAGCTTTTGTGCTGACGACGCGCTCGCATTGTTCTTCAACTCGTCTTGTTAAACTAGGCGATTGCAACGGGATCATCGACCTCCTTTACACGACAGTTTGCTTATCAATTACTGGTTATTTATTGACTTCGATTTATTTTCTGCTGGTGAAATGTGGAGGTGGGGCGTATACCCATCTTCCCAAATCGCTTCTGCTTGCCTTTTGACCGCCTATCTCTGTTTCCCCTTCAAAACCGACGGAGCTGACCAATTTCCGGTTTATACTTTCAGAACAGGCCTGGCGAAACTCGCGTTGTCGAGCAATAAGGAAGTACGCAGCGCTTTTTTATCTCAGATCCAGCGATACCTGCTCGCATACAATGCTACTGTTTCGTTACTTGACCTCATAGAGGACGATAAAATCAATTCGAGCTGCTTCGGTGATGTTGCATCCATTCTCCTGGATATAGGCCATCGCAAAGTCTCCGGACTGCAGTGTAAGACACCGGTTTGCATATGGACACCATACTTATCTAGGGCTCGACGCAATTGGGAGACCACTACCCGGTTTGAGTATCGGAGCTTTCCACTGGCCAGGGAGTTTTGAGCTTTGTATGAGTATTCCGGAGCATATTCTTCCAGCAAACACCACAATGCCATCACGCTATTGTACAGCGTCCTTCAAAATCCCAACGCCGATGAAAACTCCTGATCTTTTTGTAAGTCAGTTTTTTGTTCGGTCTCTACTGCCTTAGCAATTGTCGGTCGATGTTGGTTTTTGCATTCCGCGTTCATGCAATGGACAGCATTTCTTGGAATTATTGAATAGAGGTAAGCTTGCGGAACCGGTCGTCACAGGTCCACAGTTATGTCCAGGTACCACGTGGAGGTGGACAAGACCGCAACCTATTGTCACAGCAGTCCAGATACTCTGCCAACAGATGCTTGGTTCTGGGCCGCAATGTAAGTATATTTGCTGATATTCCTCTCAAACCCTTCCAGCCAATCGTGTGAGAAATCGGAGTTAATTGCAGTTCAATTTGAAGCGGGCCTTGCCAATTCCAACCTACTATCTTTTCTAGCATGGTGTCGAATTAGAAATGCATTGGCCACCTTTCCATCCCTTCCTGTGAAATCACATGTACTTGAACAGTTTCCACGTAATCATTATGATAGGGTAGCACGTATGTGGAGCCACCTTTGAATTAAACCCGTCTGATATAGAGAATCTGCAATTTGCGACCCACTGTCAGCCTTAATTCATTTTATTGGTTTGTTTGAGAGATATTTGAATGGGGAAAGGTGGCTCAGTGGTTGGAGCACTGATCAAAAGCTCCGTGGTTCGAACCCGACCTCTGCATCTTGAGTTCTTCTGTCTGGGCTCGGGCAACCTGGCAGTATCTCAGGCCTTGTGCTTCCTTAAGGTGCATGGCATCTAGGCACCTGGAGGGTGTTAAAGCTGAACGATTTATCTGAGTGTTTCAACCGAGATTTCGCTCCATGAGTGAAGTCAGTCTATTTGGTTGTTGGTCTGTTCGCCGAGCTTGGAGTTGAATTGTCGGGCAACCTGGCAGTATCTCAGGCCTTGTGCTTCCTTAAGGTGCATGGCATCTGGGCACCTGGAGGGTGTTAAAGCTGAACGATTTATCTGAGTGTTTCAACCGAGATTTCGCTCCATGAGTGAAGTCAGTCTATTTGGTTGTTGGTCTGTTCGCCGAGCTTGGCAGTTGAATTGCAAACGTTTCATCATCAGTCGAGGGGACATCGTCAGTGCAGGGTTGAGTGGGTGAAGTCAGTCTATGTCGAGAAGCGCTTTACAGTATAGCTGCATCCTTAATGAGAATGTTGAGATTCGAACTCGACAACTCGAGGCTAATCGTTGAACACTGAACCCTGTGGATGGCTGACATTGTGGTTAACTCACATCGCTCTGGTTGTTTGATATTTCACTAGTACTTCACGTCTATAATGACTGCAGGTATTGTCTTCAACTCTGGGGCACTCCTGTAGTTTGATACTCGTGTTGAATTAGCTTTACATAATCAAGACACGCATGGGACATTTCGCAATATCTTCCGCATTTCTATTGAAGTTTGGTTATTTCGCCACAGGTTCAAATTGCGCTGGAGATGCTCCAATGTTCTGAAGGTTCGTCATGGAACGATTTCAAGTACAGAAAACTGAGTAAAATCCAGGAGTGCGTACAAGTTAGCCTCAGCTGTTTTATTTCATCTGCCACATACAGTTTTTCGTTCTCACTTGTCACAGACAAACAGCAAATGCATCTACGCTGGACAAATGTCACGTAGGGTAAATCTGGCACTTTTGGTGAATTTAACCGCAGTTTAGACTCAATTAAGAGGTTTTGACAGGATGGGGTTGCTATTCAAATCGAGAAGGTGAACACCAGCATAATGTGAGCGGAAGTTAATATATGGTAAATACTCGTTGAGCCCTTCATTGCCTAGCTGTCATGCCACCTCAACGAAGCACAAGACCTGAGATACTGCCAGGTTGCCGAAACTTAGACAGAGGAAGTCGAGATGCAGGGGTCGGGTTTGAACCACAGACCATCCGTTCGGCAAATTCGCGCTCTAACCACTGAGCCATCTAGCGACGGCTAATAGGAACAGTCAGGTGCTGCCTCTGTTCTACTTTATACAAGTGTTCCAACGACATCTTGGGACGCACGCTTGTGTAACAATACATTTTGTGAACTAGTTGTTCTGAGTCCGCTCCACACTAGGATTCTGTTCCGAATAGACCCCACAAGGCATTGTGTCTTGCCTTTGTTTGCTTTCAATTTACAGCGTGTACCGTACCGGGTGCGCAAATCGTATGCACGGGGCGTAACCTCTAGTTGTTTATGTTCTGTTTATGTTCTGGCCACTCCTGTCGTTCTGTTGTTCGACATTGTTCCTGAGAATAATGGTACTGATTAAGGCACCATATTCACTCCTTCATGTACTTTTAAATGGGCTCTAGAAATTGCTGTATCTAATACCAATACTGTGTTTCATCCTGATGTCAGTGTGGTTATTTCGTGTCTTGGCATTCCCATGGTAATCGCCACAGCGTTGGAATTATTCATCTGGCTACGGTGGAAAACGGAAACGTGGAACTTGAGCCGTTTACAGAAGGCGACCTTGCGAAATTCGGAGGAAGCGGAGAACGTCGAAGCACTCGTGGAAGACGGCGGCGAACAAGAAGTACAAGGACTGTTGGGCCACGAAACAGTGATAATTACAAGCTATGTTGATTTTCGTGCGGGTACGAATGGTTGATGTCTCTCGTGTTTCAAATTCTTTCTGGCTAGACTTACGAGTCTTTCACTGAATTGTGTACAATTTCATTCACTTTTGATGTCCTTGTTTCATGGTTGCCGCATATGTCTTCCGATGCACACGGCCTAGCATATTTCCAGGTTCCCAACTGAGATTTCGTACCGTCAGCGAGGTCAATCTATGCCGGGAAGCCAAGAAGCATTGTACACCTGATTCATCGTGATTGAGAATCATCAGCAGTGCGTATCTCACAAAACTCAGATAATTCCTAACCACTGATCTTCCGGTCATTGTTCGAACACCTAACCGTTTGGTCATGAACGTCTGATCAACGCAATGTTTGACTGACACTGGGGCAGGACATGACGCTACTCATCCTTGAATCACGGAAATCACATCACGTGATCGTGTATTAACTAGCCTCTCGAGTGATCGCTTATCAGATGGAAAGTTTATTCATCTTGTGTAGTTATTCTTCCTCTAAGCCACCTGTAGACTAAGGATAGTGTTTCCCCAGAAGCGAAGTAACCCTGATCGGGGGCACCGCTCTTGCTGATGCTTATCAAGCTGGCAACTGCACGAATCTCCGCAGGAGCAATCACCAGGTCTGTCCTGGAGGTAGCACATGACCTCTCTTTTGAAAGATCCGGTGTTAAAGGTTTCCATGGGAATGCCAGCGGAAGGATGCTTCTTGGGAAGATTACCGGATCGACACACAGGCTTGGTATCTCGGATGAGACCGAATGTGGCCGAGTTGTAGCCTGTTAAACCACCGTTACAAAATCTTCACAATTCAGTGACGTTCCGCTGGGTACTTCGAGGAGGGAAACATGGGGTGGCGGCGTAAAATATGTGGCGTAGCTAATGTTAAATAAGAATTCAGGGTGACCTACTGATTGCAACTGGATCCTGTCGTCCGTAGTCTTTTGCTACGATTCAGGTTGCCGATTACATCTGAGTTTAGCGTATATTACCTAATGTGTATTCAGCCGGTTCATTATGAAATACGCAAACGTATATTGGTCTTTGACTGCTACCTCCTGCATGATGTTAACAAAATTGCATAGCTTTTGGAATCTGGCAATCTAGAGGGCGTGTCGTGTGTGTCGTTCTACATCCAACCTCAGACCATCCATTTTTTCCTGAAACTCGCTCGAAACCCCCCTCTTCGCTTCCAAGCCCATCACTTTGAAGGCTTTCCGTGAAGAGTACTGCTGAACGATGTTCGACCTCATTTGTGGTTGGTCAGGTGTCGTTTGCTGACGAAGCGTTTGCAAACTGATTGCCGGATGTCCCAAGTGATTAGAGCGTGGATTTACTGGCCGAAAGGTCCGTGGTTCGAACCCAACTTCTGTCTCTTGACTTCCCTTGTCTAGGCTTGGGCAATCTGGCAGTATCCCAGCCCTCGTGCAACCTTCGCGTAGCATGGCAGTTAGGCACCGGAATAGTATTGCAGCTGAACAAGCTAAGTGGCAAGCTCAGCGGTTAAGGCGCGAAACTTGCTGGCCGGATGTTCCTTGGTTCGAACTCAATCCCGGTGTTCTCCACTGCTTCTGTCTAGGGGTGTATGACCGGGAACTGTCTTAGCCCTTATGCATCATTCGACTGGCATGACAGCTAGGCACCGAAATAGTGTACAGTTAAACGTCTCTTGACTTCCCTTGTCTAGGCTTGGGCAATCTGGCAGTATCCCAGCCCTCGTGCAACCTTCGCGTAGCATGGCAGTTAGGCACCGGAATAGTATTGCAGCTGAACAAGCTAAGTGGCAAGCTCAGCGGTTAAGGCGCGAAACTTGCTGGCCGGATGTTCCTTGGTTCGAACTCAATCCCGGTGTTCTCCACTGCTTCTGTCTAGGGGTGTATGACCGGGAACTGTCTTAGCCCTTATGCATCATTCGACTGGCATGACAGCTAGGCACCGAAATAGTGTTACAGTTAAACGACTATTGTTATGTATGTAGGCTGGATAACAATGGGCCCAACTATCTGAATATGCGACATTACCCCATGATGCTTTTTCGAGCCATTTTATGACAGTTGAGGATCACCACACTTCGAAAAGGTTTGGTATTTCCTCTCTTTAAGCCTCCTAAGTTTGCTTTTGCCATCACGAGAAACTATATAGTGGTGCAAGTAAATTTTCATTACAAAGACCTCATCTGAACTCGCTCTTTTTTACAAGGTCCATTGTTTCATAGTTCTTACGACGCTTTTCTTTCAAGACTTTTTGAAGCAAAGAAGATTGTCCTTCCAAGTTTTGACGACTTTCTCCCTGCCTTGGAACACTCGGAAATGGTGGGCTGTGTCACCAGTACACTTGGAAGCCACAGCCCATCCACTCGCCTTCCTTGATGGGATTCGGGTGATGACCATGATCTGGATCATTTTTGGCCACTGTGTAACCTTTTCGTGCGCTGTCGCTAGTAAGTCTTTCATCCTTTTTTCGCGGAAAGAAAAATCGATAACCGGTTTACCATATGTTAATCCTTGTTACACACACACACACTCACACTTCTTACCGGGAATGGGAGTGTTTCTGTAAGACAGACACCGTGTTAGATGTGACCGTGCGGAAATAGAAGATTCGGAACCGTGCTCACATCCCTCGAAACTAGATTCGTTACTTCTCCATTAGGTCAGAGTTTACTGACCGGAAGGTCCGTGATTCGAACTCGACCTCTGCCTCTCGACTTCCACCCTGTCTAGGCTTGGGCACCCTGGCAGTATCCCAGCCCTCGTGCCTTCTTCGTGTGGCATGGCAGCTAGGCACCGAAAGGGTTCTACAGCTGAATGATTTCTTCTTTTTAGGTCAGACAATAACCATCGTACCGATGTAATATCCTCCTCGGAAATCATCAACTCAGGACCTTGTTCGAAACCGTTTTCTTCGAACATTACACCATTGAACTATAGGCAGCTGATCGAAAGGGTGTCTAATTTGCACCGTGGACTGCGTTATGTCAGTGGAGGAAACTGATGCTCAGTTGCCTTACATTCGTGTAGGAAGTATGCCCAATAAAGAGTGAAAAAGAAGAGGACACACGGGGACTTATTGCGGAAAATCTCACGTTCCTGGAGAATGCTGAATCCGAGCTCATTGAAACAAACACATTACGCCATCAGCGGGATCGATCCGGCATACAAGTGACAGTAGGCTTGCTACTGGGATTAGTTGCGTGCCAACTGTGCGCAAAGAGAGTCACATGGACCCCAACCGGGAAGATACGAAGATCCCAGAGCGCCCAGCTTGAGAGCTATCACTTTCATTTCGTGTTGCCACGTCCGCGAATTTTCCGTCCACCAGGCTGTCTTTGCTAGACGGTGCTCGGAAATGCATAATTTATGTCCCAACCATTTTAACGTGATAAGTGGTGCGCAATCGAATCCGACTCAATGCCTGGTACTCGCTTACGGACCGTGTCGTTACGCACATACAAACATCGCCGATTGAATATCTGGAGACGTTTGAGTTCATGCTATCGGTGAAGTCGTTCCACAGCCATAGAGAATGAATGATATTATCCTGATAGATCACTACTCATAAATTGGCTTAAAACTCTTCCTAAAGCTCTTATTAGGACTCGTCAGTCACTCAGATTTGTAGCCTCTTGGAGACTACACTCGAAGATGATTTGTCAGTGGCAATAGAGAAGGAGGAAACATCCATGGAGAACTCCACTAATCGTAGGAAGCTTTTGAACAAGTTATCGTAAGCCCTAACGCTCCCCAGACTTATGGATATAAATACCACGACGAGTGTTCACACACCTCAAGGACATTGTCCCCTTTGGCCAGCTATGTGTAGAAGAGCCAACCCGCCCACAGTTGGTCGACGGTTTACGCTCGTTCAGGCACTTGACCTAATGTGAACACGTAGTCGATGCACTCCATAACTGGCCGGAGTCCTACCTACTCTTTTGGGACTTGTGTCTCGCGTGATGAGCTCACACATGGCGATATTATTGAAGCTTTTGCCTAACCAACGTTCACTATCTTTTTTCCCAAAATAGACAACGTTGTTTGTATCCTTACTGTGAATACCCATTCAACTCTGAATCGTTTTTCCCCTTCAGATAACCTATTTGTCTACGCACAAGAGAACTTTCGTCGCTGGACCTTTCAAGCTCTAATTAGCGCTCCTCTGTCTGTGGATGTCTTCTTCATGATGTCGTAAGTAACACTTCGTTTTTAGTGAGTGTTTTTCTTCGAAAGATCCTCCAGTTTCTTTCTGTTTGAACAAATTTATCCCATTGTCTTCAAACCAGCGAGGCAGTCATCTCTCCGTGGTTTAATCATGCACGCCTAAGAGTGGTAAAGCAGAGAGTTAGAGCGTCCAGTCGCCGGTGAATGCACCCTTCTCATTCGACAGGCGTTGCCTAGATTGTTGCACGTAATATCTGACCGAAAGGATTAAAGGCAAGTCGATTGCATGATAAACAGCTTGGTCATCGAAAAAGCTAGCTAGAGGCCGACTCTTTTGAGGTTTGATCAAAACAGTCAGTTGCACCCTCTCCCATACTTGCCAAATCTGAATTTTTTCCAGATCGCTTCTGTTAGCAAAAACAGCTTGATACCAGTTCACTGAACGTTTCTGACTCATTTGTCGATCACAATCACGGTGAATTTCAGCCATTTCCTGTCAACATTTTACATTTCTGAACCAAGTGGTGGAATGTATCCGTCAAATCGATGAAAATAACGAAGATAGCGAACAAAGCATGTAATCTGTGATTTCTCCTCTTGGCTAATACATTACAAATTTATGAGGCAAAAATCACGTGAGGAAGGGAGTACGTACGCTTGAGAGAATTCTGTGTCCCCGAGTGGTGGTTGGAAGAAACCAGGCTCAAGTGCAATTGCATCACATTTGTCCGAAACCGATCACGTCATCGACAAAGAGCAAGCCTTCACTATCGTACATCGGGTACCTCTGAACAGATCACGACTGGTACTTCGATCGCAGAGGTGAATGGATTCCGAATGCTGGACCCACAACTTTGCGTCTGAAAGAAACGTGTGCCACCTCTGGACGTGGACTGGCTTGCGAAGATTTCAGTTCCACCAGCCTGTCTGATATTAACGTAACTTACTTGATTCCGTGATTCATTGACCTACCCCTCATTCATCCTCCCTTCCTTTGATTTCTGTTTCTCTAAAGCTTATGTACTCCCTTCTTCACGTGATTTCTGGTACCATATAAATTTTTTATGTATTTGCCAAGAGGAACAATCGCAGAAAACAAGCTTTGTTCCTGTCATGACTAGTGAACGAACTTGCTTGTTTATTCAGTAACTACACTACCGAGCTTGCCCCTGTTATTTAATGGCTTGTTCACTCATCCTTATCTACTGGTGCCCTTCGCATTCCCAAACGTGGCGTTCATTTTGCCTCCATGAATTACTGGCCTCTCTTTTGACGTAACAAATCCGCGATCTTCAAGACAGTGCCATCTCCTGTGACCCCGACAGGGAACTCAATTGCCACCGTTTCCTGAGTTATATGCTGGCCTGATTGTTACTGTTTGGTTATCCTTTCTTGACTCTTTGGGAGGAACGAATGTGAATGCCGTAAATATGTGAAGTCCCCTGATTAAGATTGAATACAATGGGTGGGTGTTACTAGCATGGCGCACGCGCAAGATTTTGAAGCATACACTCAGGCTGCTTGGGGGTTCTTAGTCAAGTCGGCCGGACGTCTTGACACAGATTCTAAAATAACTGGTCCACCCAAGTGTTTAAAAAAGTATGGCGACACTCAGTGAGCAGTGGGACATCTCGCCCAAAATATGTGAAGGGCTTTTCATTGAGTTTGGTATACAGATATTCTTTTCGAAATTCCCATGTACAGACCGTTTCCACATTTAGTCATTTGGATCCGGTGCTACCTGCACAGCCGTTTTATGCAGATATCATTAGATGGCGTCCTCTTTTGGAGCTAGGGTTCCCCAAGAATATATTCTCTCCCTCCCTTCGTTCCTGCTTTATGGAAATGATCTCCTGACGTCTGTTGTCGTTCCTATCCACACCTTTGAAAACACCGTCACTCATTCTATTCAGCTTATTGTTCGCGGTGCTCCGCTGGCTTTTGACTCTGTGACCACTGGACACAAAAGATTAGTATCCTGAATACCATTGTCCTTGACTTGGGGTTCGTCGAATTCAGCCCCACTCCATGTATCCATCTCCCTTCGTAATTCCAGTCCGGACTGAAATCAATCAATGGTTGTACCACCATCCCCAAGTCATTGTCATTCTTGCACCATCTGTTGTCCTTGTCTTCACAAGGTGGGCACCTAACAGTAGGTCCCCTTTTTCGATCATGCAGATAGTTCATCTCTTCCCATTCATCATTCTCATATTTATCATATCCTGGATTACAGCTGTCACGTTTTCCTGGGTGAAGAGTTTTCTTTTCCTGACCTGTTTTTTTCTTGGTTGCATTCAGCGTACGCTCCGCCGATGCCCGTTCGCTGACTGATAACCTGCCTTATCGTCGGAACGTCTACTTGGTAGCTGTACTTTACCGTCACTACCCGGTGGAATGCTTATCGCATATCGTTCACTTCACTTTACTTCATTGTTCATCCCGTCACCCTCATCAAGTAAACAATTCATTTTTTTTTATCTTAGGGCATGCCTACAACCATTCAGAAGTCGAGTTAACGTCCGTCTCAACTCAGCTTGAGTTTTATGCTATTTCTTGTGTGCTTTTGTGTTTTTTTCAGTCGTTCTTCGCGGAGTTTCTCCCTTTCTCAACAAGTCCCATTGCGCAATAGATAACTATACACAAAAGTACCCAAAGAGTGTTCACAATTGGCCGTTTGACTGCCCCGTTTAACTGCCTCGTGTCATCCGCAATTACCAGTTTCACTGGTTTTCTACATCAGTTTAGTACTTTTCTTCAATGACATGGTTTAATTACTGACCTTAAATGTAAAACACGTCTACGGGTAATCCCCTCCAGCGTGGATTCGTGTCTAATCCTTACTGTGATAGCTTTTGCAAGAACTCTTGGTATGTGACTGGCTTTTCTGCCAACGGACATTCGAAGGTAACCAGTTATCAAAAAATCCAAGGCATTCCATAGAGATTTCAGTCTGTAAGTGAGGCCAACAAAGTGGAGAAGCAATGGACAGCTGTTTCATCTCTGTTGGGAATCGTCACCATCTCCCAAAAATCCAAGGAGTTTCAAACCTACGACCTTCCGGTCATTGGTTGAACAATTAGTGGTCGGGCTCCGAGCGGTTAAACAACAGTGTGATGAGCTCCAACTAATCTAAATAACTCTGCCTCACGTTTCGGCATGCACTTCACACTTGCAAAGTGTAAAGTGCTACTGCAAGACTGGGTAGGCTCGAACCTCGCGGTTCGGCATGCGCTTCACACCTGCAAAGTGTAAAGTGCTACTATAAGACTGGGTGGGCTCGAACCCTAGCCTCATGCTTGCGGATGAACCGATTGAGGGAGTAGACAAATTGGTTTACCTGGGCAGCTGTATTAGTCCTGGTGGTCTCGCAAAAGATGATAGTCCCATCAGGATTGGGATTGCCAGAGCAGCTTTTGTGAACATGCGTCACCTGTGGCATAGGCGTGACATCCGTTTCTTTGCTGCGGTGCGCTCCACATTACTATATGGATCAGAAACCTGGCCGCTGCGCGCCGAGGATGTCAAAAGACTTTCAGTGTTTGACCATCGATGTCTTCGGAGCATTGCCCGAATCTGGTGGGAACACCGGATCAGCAATTCTGAAGTACGTCGAGTGGTATTCGGGAGAAATAACTCACCCTCGATAGGTGAACTGATCACACTGCATAGGTTGCGCTTACCTGGCCACGTGCCGCGTATGCCAGTCGACCGACTTCCTCGAAGGGCTCTTTTCGCCCAACCACGTGAACAGTGAAAGATAGCCGGAGGCGGTCCAACAATGACTTGGCAGCGAAGTGTGAAAACCATTGCCAGCAAACTCAGCTGCGCCTGTCATTGCAGTCTTCCTGGATGGGGACCTCGAGACAGGCCATATCAATCTTTAGAGACATTGTCAGACATGGCCTAGTCGCGCCCTCAATGACGCTCATGCATCCAGCCTATTGCCTCTTCCCACTCAACAGTCCACCTGCAGTACTGTATTTACGCACTAATTTATCGGCTCCCGCCTCCAATGCGCAGCTACCTACCTCATCTCCCCGAATCATCGATGGACGAAACTGTGGCAGCTGTACGACAAGTACGTTGACAGTGATGATGATGAGCTCTCACTTAGACAGGAATGAGCACCTCTACAATGTTTGTCGACTTTACTGACTTGATGGAATTTCTACTGAATATTACCAACTCTCGGATTACCAGCTCAGAAGACCGACAGCTTCGCTGGATGTGCGAAATTTCCTTCTGAGAGGTCGGCACTCGAGATGTGGTTTCCGCGATTCAAGAATGAGTGGCGCTATGCCCTCTCCAACTGTGGGTTAATCATCGTGTTGATTAGCGGCTGTTGGCTAGACGGTGAAGTGTTCAACCAATGGACGGAAGTTTGCCCGTTCGAGATTCTTTGAGTTTCGTGAAACAGCTGTACAATGCTTTGAAAATGAACCTAAGCTATCCTTAATTGACATCAGTGATACCTGCTTGCAACTTAACTGTAATTCCTCAAGGCGTGCGTTGTTTTCACGAAATATCCTCATTTACATACCAATATGGTTTTGACGGAAGATTCCTCTGGAATGTAGCTTACTGTTTTGTTGATAATGTTCTAATGCAGCTGAATGTGTTGTACGAGGCTGCCTCAGGTTTCAGTTGATTGCTTCACATGGATACCGTGTGTGATAAAATAGTAATATAGAGGTTTCGCGAAATACGCTCATTTGCAAATCAACTTGGTTTTCACGAGAGACTTAACTGAATCTCTCGTTCATTATATTCCATAACTGATGTAGAACATAAGGTTGATGGAAACTCGGGGACTGCGCCTACCTGATGAGCCCCAAGAAGGGCGAAACCGGCTGTGGGCTTTCGAAAAGTTTTCAGCAGCCTTGTGAGTGGTTTCCTTTATGAAAACATGCTGCGATATATCGAATATCATGCCAACTGAAACATGAGGCGGTCTGTGTGGAGCACATTCAGTTGTAGAACATCATAAACAAGAGATTCAGTTGAGTTTCTCGTGAAAACCAAGTTGGTTTGCAAGTGAGTGTACTTCTCGAAAACAGTGCAATTTGGGTTCAAGTAGAACATAAAGTTGACGGAAACTCGGGGACTGCGCCTAGCTGATGAGCCCCGAGAAGGGCGAAACCGGCCGTGGGGTGTTGAAGAGTTTTCATCAACCTTGTCAGTAGTTTCCTTCATGATAATACAGAACTTTGTAGGAGTTCCGCATTGTGAACTTAAATTATCGAGATTTAGATATCCGAGGAAGGTGTACGTGGAGTATCGTCTATTTCTTTCTCAGCAATCGTTTAGAGTTTTTGATCGACCTCCGTGCCCGTACTGCAAACATAACCGCGTTGGACTACTGGTTCTTCCAGACAATGATAGTTTCTATTATTCGTCGTGCAGTGAATCTTTATCTACATACTTGTTCAGGAGCGAACTTACTGACCGGAAGGTCCGTGGTTCGAACCTAACCTCAGGATATCGATTGCTTTTGTCTAGATTTGGGCGCCCTGTCAGCTTCTCAGCCCTCGTGCTTCCTTGAAGTGGCATGGCAGCTAAATACCGAAAGGATGCTACTGCTGAACGATTTTTAATGTTATATATATTTCCATTTCAGTGGCTTACTCTGCGTTTACACGGCGTTGCCTCGATTCACTACGGCTCAAGGAGTAGCTAGTCGAGCTCGTTTCTGGTTGATGTTCGTATGTCATCGAATTCTACGGTATGATTTTTAAAAACTGTTTCCGATGCATATTTGCTGCTTCTACTCATGCTTTTTTTCGCCAAACGGTGTGTTTATTTCAATCAATATTTAAGTAATATTGCCGTCGTGAAACCATCACACCAAATGGTGCCCGTCCCCACCGTGTGTTTACTGTAATAACGGTAAATTCTCAGTTCATTTCTCGGTCCGTTTCACCCTAGCCAGCATTTTTCGCAGGCGAAACATCAAGCGTACACAAATTCACTCAATCGCCGCTTAGCAGATACTGGAACGTAACTAGGTCCACATATTTGACCAATCAGAGCGCGCCTTGATGCTGGACCGCCAAAGGCTCTGATTTTCTGATCACTTGCGTCCGAGTTGACCTCACCAGAAAAAAAGTCGTTCAGCTGTAGTACCCTTTCGGTGCCTAGCTGCTGTGCCACACGAAGGAGTCACGAGGGCTAGGATACTTCCAGGTCGCCCAAGCCTAGACAGGGGAAGTCGAGAGACAGAGGTCGAGTTCGAACCACGGACCTTCAGGTCAGTAAGTTCTCGCTCTAACCACTTGGCCCAACTCGCCAAGCGTTTATCTGAATCCTCCCAAAGCCCACCCAGTCAATGTTGTGCACTAACCGCTGACTTCAACTGGTATCACTCACTCGGTAGTCACCCTTTCTTCGTGTCAAACGGTACGTGGGATGGTCCATCCCGGATTTTGGCTGGATGCAATTCTACACACAAGTTCGATCGACTTCCGTGAATTGTTTGACCTATGCGCCACACATTCTTCCCTCTCGTGGGTTTGTGAAGGCGTTTCAGACACAGTAGGGGCCATGATTTGGGTTGCTGTGGTTTAGGTGTAAGGTGCCAGAATACCGGAGTTGTCGGTGCATGTTAGGATCGCATGTACCTACTTCCACATTCTTTTTTGTTCTTTCGCTTCAGGTTGACTCCGGCTTATTTGTTGACAATTTTGGTCTATGCTGGCCTTTTTCATCATTTGTATGATGGCCCTTTCTTCCCGCAAAAACCTGATTTGTTGGATTCTATCTATTGCCGTAGACATGGTTGGGTCACCTATCTGAACAATTTGATCTATCCTAAGGAACCGGTGAGTTATCCTCATTTTTGTGACCGCACTATTTTCGTGACCTGTTGTCTGTTGCCTGAACCACTACCATAATCGTCATCATCATCAAAGACAGCAGCATCAATGTTGGCATTGATGCTTTTCTTCAGTGTAGAGGTAAAGTTCGCTTAATCGCACTTAAAGTGAAAAAAGGAGGAAAGAATAGGTAAGGGACGGACCCGGTGCTCGCCTCTAGACCGATTCACAGCAGTTATAGCTTTCGCTTTCTCAAATGGCATAACCCATCGTTGGACTGGGGCAAACTTCACAACATCCCCAAGCAAACTAACTAAAGACAACAGTCTCCTTATTCACAATTGTCTACTCTTTGTTCTGAAACGTGAAAAACATTTTGGTCGTTCTTTTTTCCTTCTTATGTTCAATTCCGTGCGCAACATCATATTCCTCGCGATTGGAGACCCGGTAATTTTACCCATCCGTTTTATACCAATTTGTTTTCCTCAATTTCTTTTGTAATTCACAAGCTGCTTTAGGTGCGACCAAAGTGAGTTCACCCACCGTTTTATGTCAATTCTAAACAGCTCCATACCATCTGGTCCTCATTTTTGTTCGCAAACAGTGTTCTGTGATTAGCTTCGACGATCCGGATTTTCCTCTGTGCATTGGTGATTTTGGGCGTTTTTCGTCGTTTTGGAGAGTTCCTACGTATTGTACTTTCGAGCTCGAGGTCACGCAGTGGTTAGGACGCGGATAGTCCTTGGTACGAATCACTCTACCATCTAAGATTGTGCAGCCTATCAGTATCTCAGTCCTCGAAACCCCTTCGAGCTGCATGGCAGCGTGTTACCGAAAGTATGTTACACCTGAACGAACAACAATAATAAAATATCGTTCAGCTGTATCACCCTTTCGGTTCCTATCTGCCATGCCACGCGAAGGAAGCACGAGGACTTGGATACTGCTAGGTCGAGATGCAGAGGTCGGATTCGAACCACTGACCTTCCGTCCAGTAAATTCGCTCTCTAACCACTGAGTCATGTCGCCCCCCATCTGGTACATTATTTCTATCATTATGCACGACCCGGTACTCTATTTCGTTTTGTAAGCTAAAGGCCAATCAAATCTTTAGACAGCCAAGCCTGTCTGTCATTGTGTTCAATTCGAATTTCATATTTGCCTATCGGGATGGCTGCAACTTTGTAAACAAATGGTTGGTCGTGGGATAAAGGAGGCAAGTATCCGAACAATGGGACCAACAACGCCCGCTCCGTATGATTTGAACAACTCACAATGATCGATCTGTTTGTAACATTTAGTCCGGTTGTTACTTTGAGACCCAATTCACTTTCCTTCCTTCCTCGTTTCCACATTTTTCTTCCAGTGCATGGCCTGGTCTTGGTATCTGTCCAACGATTTGCAGTTCTCCGTAATTCTCGCCCCCATATTCATCTCTCTAACTAGCTGGTAAGTTGATTCATGGAAGCTTTTTGGTTGTCGTGTGTACGGGTTTTCCAGTGTCTTTCTTCCTAAGGTCGAACGCTTTCATCCACCGCGAAATGGACCACCCAAATGTGTTCTTATACGACACAACGCTGTTTGTCACTCACTCAATACATGAAACAGTTACGACGTATGGGTAATGCGGTGGTGATATACGCATTTCACGTTGCCTGATCGGCAACCGGAAAGAAACGCGCTTTATCGAGGCTTCAGAAACCAAGTTCATCTCCTACTTTCAGGCCAACCAACTGGTGCAAAATATGACACATTGTGCCACTAAGCTTGAGAAAGTGGAAAGTTTCAAGTCAAAACGCAGCTTAACCGCAACAAATTGTCATCCGACATTTCGGTTGCCCTGGGCTTTTGGGTCTCGGTGATTTTTGAGAGTCGCGCTCGTTTTGGCCCAGCGCAACGCGGGATTTTAGGTTATTCAGTGAATCGGTCGGTTTTAAATGTGGTTTCGAGTGAGTTGGAAAATCAGAAGCGATTATAGGCAGCATGCGAGTAGTCTGTCTGGTGTCCAATCTGCGTTCCCGCATCTGATGGGAGGTGAAGTTTCTTGCGGGAATTGCTTTGCAATGTTGGTTTACTATTGTGGAATAGTCAATGAATACCCATGATTGTTCAAGAAGATGCGTGTGGGCGTTCAGTTTTTAAAAGATGTGTGCATATGAGACATTTATTTTCCTGTCTAATGGCTTGTAACTGCTTAGTTGGTGTTTGCAATAGACGACTTTGCAGCAAAGGGATATCGTCCTGTCACCGTTAGTTCACCGCCGAACGCCGCATTCCGCTAACTGTTCACGGGTGAACACGCCATTTTGCTCATCTTTGGTCGCCCAAACGCTCTGCAGTCTCCCTGGTTGCGTCGATCGGCTGACCCGCCGTTTTCGCCGATACTCACTGTTTTGCATACCGATTCTACGGATACCGCAACTGCCTACAACTGATGAAAAAAATTTTCCACCATGTTTTAAGCGTTTGGATCAACTAGACTAGGAACTTTTGAGTAGGGGACCAGTTAACGTGCACAACTATGGCAGTTGTTGTTCGAGGTTCCTGTCTAGATTTGTGCAACCCGGCAGTATCGCAGCATTGCTTTGTTCAGCTGGCATGGCAGCTAGACACCGACAAGGTGTTACAACTGAACGATCATTATTATTATTATTATTGCTTATGTTGTTCGCGGTACGGAAAAAGAGCTGATCGCGACTACCAGGTATGAGCGCACTAGGCTGTTCATACGTTGTAGTCACAGTGCTCGTCTGGCCTGTTCCTGTATCCGGGGTTCGAATCTCGGAACTGCCAATCAAGAATATATTGCACTCTCCGTTTTTCAATGTTTCAGGAATGTGGTGGCTGGGATGGTTTTTGCTGCCGCACTCATAGTCTCTTCCATTCTGGCCACATTTGCAATCGCCTACAGGAATGATTACCTGCCAGGTTCACTTTCCATGTAAGTTACATTCACTTCTTACTGTCTCTGTCTGGCTGAACAACTCTGCTCGTAGAAACTTCTGTTTAGTTAGGACGAGATGACTCAGCGCGAATTTACTGACCGGAAGGTCTGTGGTTCGAACTATGCCTCTCGAATTTTCCTGTCCAGGCTTGGGCAACCTGGCAGTATCCCAACCCTCGTGCTTTCTTCGGATGGTGTGGCAGCTAGGCACCCAGAAGGGTGTTACAGCTGAACTTTTTATGCACCAGTCAACCATAACTGATCGCGAGGGAAGGTCGCTGAATGGTCTCCTCGTTGGAGGGACGATTAATCCGAGTGAACCGACCCGGGGAAAGTTAGTTACTTTCAACGAGAGAGAGTCTTCGACGAGGTTTTTTGAGATGGGTCAGGATTCTTCAGTTTGACTGGAAGCACCGCTTCAGTTACTCAGTACTCACTATGAGCTCAAGGTCATACTTTTTCAAATAGGTTGGTTGCATGTTAGCACGAGGTTAGGGGAGATGACCTGTTGTGAACTCATAAGGCATGGGTAATCGTTTGCCGAAATCTGCGCAGCTACCGGCTTGACGGCAATTGCAGATGTTCAAGCGATGTATTTAAGTTTCCTTAGTTTAGTTAAACATCTGAACTAGTCAGAACTTCTAGGCGTATAAGTTCGCGCACTGACAGTGGAACAATGTAATATGGCTCCCATACTCACATTACTCTGGTTTGAACAGTCGTCCCCCTGTCCTGGTGCAATCATTCTTGCGAGGCCACACCAGGTGTGTGAGGAGCACCTGCACGCTGCGCATAACGACCACCATCACGCCCATCCTGTTTGCGTTTCAAGGTCCTTCTACCAACTGTGTAATTCGTTAGTGATCAGTAACACTATTTCTTGATTTTCTGACAATGTTTTGCCTGGTATTTACGTATATATTCAAATGTATTTTATAGGGGGCGAGATGGCCAGGTGGTTTAAAGCGCGAAATTACTGTCCGAAAGATCCGTGGCTCGAACCCGGCCTCTGCCTCTCGACTTCCCTTTCCAGGCTTGGGTAACCTGGCAGTATCCCAGCCCTCGTGCAACCTTCGGGTGGCATGGCAGTTAGGCACCGAAAGGGTGCTACATTTGAACGATTTACTTCTCACTTGTCTCACTTGGAAATGGATTGTTGAAACCGTAGGCTCGTCATCCGTTTTATCTTCTGTATTTCGTCATTTCATCAGAAATCTGAATTGAATAGAGTACCCCCTAGTTCCATTTTTATTAGCTGAGCTCAGCGAACAGATCAACGGCCATCTGGTCGATCACCAGAAGACTAAAGGGCGACGCGGTTCGCATGCCTTCATCTCAAATATCACGTATTGATCCACCCGCACTTACGGCCGATCATTTTGGAGCACAAAAGTTCATGCGCACGAAATTCTCCGATAAGCGCCATTAATTTGCCTTGGTGGTAAAACAACCGACCGTACACCTTTTTATTTATTCATGTTTATGCCGTTAACTGATTGTTTTTATACACGGCTGACGAGATGAAACGACATATTGGCACTCCGCGAACTCCGTCTTCTGCCATTGTTGGCTGAACCAAGGTGAAACGCCGTTTACCATTATTCGTAGTTGTTCGATTCATGATAGGACATGGGCTAAGATGATATCGAGACTCGCAATCATAGCCTTTCTCTCAAAGAATAACCGCAAGGTGGCTGTTCTTTAGTGGACACGTTGCCGGGCGTTTCAGTTCCCAATCTGGAGAACGCGAAGACTGGATTAATCCGACTGATTGACCAAACTGACCTTGAAACCTTTGCGAGTGTCATTTGTATATTCCTCAACATATCTCGACGAGTAAGGTTTTCATCAACTGATAGGATCCAATCTGTTGGTCCACTAGTGACTATTTTCGGTAGTTTTGGTCTAGGAACTTCCTTATCTTCCCATTCCATTATCGCGTTTTTTGTACCACCTGACAGAGTGGACAGCTTTGATACGATCTACGTTAAACCGTACACCCGATGGGGGACGTATACAATTGGTCTGGTTTTGGGCTGGATTCTTCTGGAGCAGTACACACCTCCAAAGGTAGGCTGTTCACAGTTGAGAAAAATAAACGGGCTTAAACTTTTTCGGTTACCATAAGCGATTGAGGCGAATGCTCGCTGAAGTGGAGGAAAAAACAGGGCTTTTTATATGTTGAGTCGTAGGCGACCTATGCCAGATTGGGGGTCTTCAAAGGTAAAAAATCAGTCAGAAGTTTTCTATTGTTAATTAAAATTGCTGTTTACAGTTGAACGAATTGATATGGCTGCTTAATTCGGCCTCCTTTGTCACTGAGGAAATTCCGTAGGAAACTACCGCTAAAGCAGACTCATTTCACTCTCTGGCTCGTCGGTATGACACAAAGTTATTCTTCAATGTCAAGTGTGCGCCATGTGCGAAGCACAAACCCTGTTGAATAAACTGACCGCCATCATACCATCTTTTGGCATGCGCCTTGCACCTTCAAAGTGCAAAGTCCTGCTTCAGAACGTGCCATCTGCGAACATATCCCTTACAATTCAAGGAGAATGTTGTGGAAAACTTGACGTACATCGGTAGTTGTATTAGCTCTGACGGAAGTGTGTCTGATGAAGTCAGTGCAAGAATCTCAAAGGCTCGAATCACGTTTGCTAATTTGCGTCACTTGTGGCGTCAAAGAGGCATCTCACTGGGTCTTAAAGGTCGTGTGTACCAGGCTACAGTAAGGGCAGTGTTGTTGTATGGGTGCGAGACATGGCCTCTGCGGACAGATGTGAGGCGTCTTCAGGTTTTCGACCACGGATGCCTCAGAAGCGTGGCTGGTTTTGGATGGCGTCAGCGTATTAGTAACGAGGTGATTAGAAAACGGGTATTTGGTTGTGCTGCATGCACCTCAATCCGGGAAAACATCCAGCATCATCGACTACGATGGCTCGGTCATGTGCAACGCATGCCGAAACACCGTCTACCGAGACGAGTGTTGTTC